TTCTCATCCACCAGTACCCCCAAGTCCTTCTCGGCAGGGCTGCTCTCAATCCCTTCATCCCCCAGCCTGTATTGATACTGGGGGTTGCCCCGACCCAGGTGCAGGACCTTGCACTTGGCCTTGTTAAACCTCATGAGGTTCACACGGGCCCACTTCTCAAGCTTGTCCAGGTCCCTCTGGATGGCATCCCGTCCCTCTGGCGTGTCGACCGCACCACTCAGCTTGGTGTCATCTGCAAACTTGCTGAGGGTGCACTCGATCCCACTGTCTATGTCATTGATGAAGGTATTAAACAGTACCGGTCCCAATACGGACCAGTACTTCTTTTGTAAGAAGAAAGGAGCAGCCTCAACTCAGAAAACACATTATCAGATGTGTTCTGTATCAGATGTATTTCAGCTGTTCTGAAGTAATTTTCTACTAGCATCAGAGGACCTGCAGTAATAGAGCAGAATTACAGCCTTCACACCATCTAATACAGACCTGTTTGCTCTCTCCAACTCCCATTTACGCAGTGGAAACATGTAAGATTTCAAGTCAGAGAGTTGCACTGCTAACATGACAGCTTGGGAGGACTTGGTGAAACCCCTGCCTTTAGACTAGGGCGGCACTGCCAGTAATCTAGGCAGGAATAAAACTCTGCCATTCAAAACTGCCCACTACACCAAAATGATGTACTAGATGAATTTCATTACTTTCTGCCAAAATCCAAATGGGCATAAATAATGCATAACTCAATGAGGAGCCTGAGAAAAACTATTCTAATTTAATAACCTGATTATGAGGAGTCTCTGCATGTACTTTTTGTCTTAATAGTTCAATATAGAAATCTGGTAATGTTTTCGGGTAATATGCATCAACTTTTAGAGTCTAGTCAACTGGGCAACGATGGCAAGCAAGACTGATCTGACCTGAATCCTTTTAGAGGTCCATCCGCTGCTACTAAAGCATATCTTCCCTTGCCAACTGCTCACCTAAGCCATGCTACTGGTTCTGTGCTACAGGGAAAAAACAAATCTTTGTTTTACATGCTATCTACACCAGTCTTCTGCAGTTTGCAGTGACAAACTCGTGTCAAGGGTCCGTCTATGTACCTGACATTCCCACTGAATAGAAGCTGCACAGCTGAACTGAGTATTGCTGAGCTGTAGATGTTCATAGTAACACAAGACAGAAATGGGAGATCTCCTTTGGAGAATTTTCTGTGCTTGAAAGAGAGTAAAGCAGGAAAATAACTCCATGGTTCCTTCCTTCCTAACTGAGAATGATTCCCTGAAATACTTCAGGAAGAAAATCTATCAATAAATGTTCCTTACTCCATTTGCTTCTTCTAGAGAATTTATTCTAACTATTTTGCAAAAAGTTCACTCTCAAAGACTGTATGGTACGTGTCTCTGCAGTAGCCAGGGCTGTAATTTCTCCAATTCATCCTACCAGAGGACAGATATTATATGCTACTTATTTTACTCATCTTACTCTTGATATAATTCAAGAGTACTTTCTTGTGACCCTTGAGAGAAGATTACTTAAACAAGGAAAATAAATGGTGGGAAAGCTCTTTTATCCATTCATCTACTGCATGTCCCTTGCATAAACTTCTTTGTGCAAAAGCAGTGATGTGGCAGTGCGCGTGAGCATGAGCAGACATGAATTTGTGCACTGTTCCTATGAGATCAAGCATCTAAAAGAAGCTGGGTTTCCCCTCGTTTGCGAATTTACCTCCTCTAAGGCAGGGTTATGTCAACCCCTTAGCATTTAAAACTTAACGACTAATCGTTACAATAAGGATATCTTTAAGAACCACAGATGCATGAGATGCAGGGTTTGGGGGCTGGAGAAGAAAAAGGTTGCCTTTTGGGGCTGTTTTAGCTTCTCAATGTACATTTGGCTCATGGCCTTGTTTCTTTGCAACAGTAAGGCTTCATAATTAGCTTGTATAAACAAAGTCTTAATCTAGGACATAGATTAAAAAAAGAGAAGGAATGTTTCAAAATTCACAATAAGTTTTCAAAGGTTGTCAGCTTGATGAGAATTCAAGTTGATCATCCAAAATCAGAAGTCATGCAGTAAGTTCCTGACCTTGTCACTTTGTGGGGAGAAAGAAGAGGGGATGGCCACTGTGTTGCAGCAATGTGAGCCTCAAGTTGACCTTTTTATCCAGAGTCAGAAGTTGCCCTGAGTGTTTCTGTGCAGCTTTCACGTGGAGAAGGGGTGCGTGCTACACTTGGCTTGTTTTGCTCATAATATAAATACGGGTTTTTTTTCTTTTCTTGTTTTTCAGCAACAGTTGGCCAAGAATATAAAATTTGGGCAGCCTCCACAAATGACAGTTTCTGTGAGGACAATGGGGGAGGCAAACGCTAGTATGGAAGAGGATGCATTGCTCAGAAGCCCCATGGAGATTGAGGCTCAGCAGGACACAGCGATCTCAGACAGCGGTAATAAAGTAAGTACTTTAAATCGACGTATTCATGACATTATAGCAGTATTAAAACAGTGAAGTTCACTGGGGCACAGCAGATGTCTCCAGTGAGGTGTAGCTGAGCTCAGTGGGCTGTTTTATGTGGGTGGGATCTCTCAGCTCATGCTTCTTTGACTGGTGAGAAGTGTGTGCTCTTGGCATGCTGAGCCGGGTCCCACAGAATTATCGGTTTGAATGTCTGCTCTGAACTTCCAGCAGTGCAGATATCACTCGCACTGTAGCTAGAAGACAGGAATTTTTTCTGAGACAGAAAATGTCTTGAAATATGGACTTCGCAGCATGGAAAGTTGTGCACAGCATCAAATGGCAAAAAGGAAAATCATTCCAAAATGAGAGGGGTATGGAGCCTAAATCCGTAAAATCCTGGGTCTTGGGGTAAATATCCGTATTTCTCGTGGACAGAACTGAAGGCAAAGAAGGGGGAGAAACATTTTGAGAATGTTCCCTAAATCCAAACGTCCAGTATAATTCAAATAATTATTCAAATTATCCATGAAGATTTTGATACTAGGAACTGCAGGCATTCAGGTGTCCAAAAAGGGCTTGTTCAGGAATGAAGAAACACGGCGAGTGATGGAAGCTCTCTGGCAATCCTCTAAGGCGAGACTGGTTCTGTGTGTTGCTGTAATGGCTGAAGGGAGCGGAGTGGACAGAGGAACATCCTTCCCTGCCCGGAGGAGGCTGACTGTGGCTGGGAACTGCTGGGGAAGACACGCAGCAACTTACCATGTGCATGCAGCCTGTAAGATCCTGGAGGGACACCAAGGCATGGGCCTCAGCTTGTGTTCACTAACACTAGTGCTAGCTGTGTGAAAGGCAAAGGCAGTAAGCGTCCTCTGCAGCTCATGCCTATATTCAGCCAAACACACGGAAGTGAGATTTATGGCTGAGGTGGCCCAAATTCTTCATTAGTCTTCAAGGGGCAACATAGCTCCTCTGTGATCACCCTTCGTGGCTGTGGTCGGATCTGTCAGGGAGCCAGGCATTTGGATAGGACCTGCACACTCATGCCTCTCCCTCTGCAGTCTGGAAGGATAAAAATGCAGTCAAAGTAAGGTATATTTCTTGCGCTTCACAAATTCTCCCTTTTGAAGCAATCGGTTAAGGTGAATCAAGAGCATCCTGCGCACACAAAAAGTGCAGTGGGATTGTGGACAGGTTTTGGCTATGTACCCTGGTACTAGGTGAGACTCTGTGTTTGATACCAACATAGATTCTCTGCAGACAGCTGTCTTGCTGGGTCCTGCAGGAGACCTGAATGTCACCTAGTGACCTCCAGCTCGAAGGAGAAAATAACTCAAGCACGAAAAAAACACTGGAGTGTCTTTGTGTAATAAGGAGGGAGAGATTCAGTCCTTACAACCTACTCTTTTAAATATTATGTTTTGAAAACAAAATTAATGCCCCTTTGCATAGTTCTTTTTCCAAATACTGAAGGAACAAACATCCCTACTCAGGAGATTACAGACACCAACAAACCAATGCTACATGCATAGGGTCAGCCAGAGCACTGGGTACTTTCCTTTTCTCTTACTGTGCGCTACTCGTTACCTGCTTAAACACGGATTTCTGGTGCACGGCGGCTTGCCTGGTTTCTGCTCCTGCCTCTGCTGTTGGCCTTGTAACTCCTCTGTGCGCTTATCTGCGTAGGTCCTGGGGGGATGGGGTGCCTTCTGTCAGGAGTTGGTGGCCAGGACCACATGGCGCTGCTCTACTTCAAACAGGTTTCCTGTGTTGCTTTGTGACTTTTGATTTTCCCGACTGAGTAACTGGGATCGATGGCAAGAGTTCTGTATTTCGTTTAGCTTCTATTTGTAAAGCTGATTTTTTAGGCGTTATACTAACAATCACGTGCACCTGGTGTAATGGGATCCCAACACGCATTAGGTTATGAAGTAATACTGTGATATAATGATTAAAAATGTTTCTGTGTGTGATGAATGCTGCTTCCACCCCTGCGCCTTAAAAATCCCCTCCTGTGAGATGGCTAGGAGAGGGATGGTAGCTAAGGAGTCCTAGTGACTGACAGGCTCCGATTGCTCTGGGGGAGCTGGTTTGCTTTGTAAGAAGAGGAGTCGTCAAGAATCTGGAGTTGAAACTCTTTGCGGCAGAGGTAATGCCTGATCAAGTTCCTATTTTTTTTCCTTAGGTGTAGATCAGGAGAAAATAAAGTTATTAAGAGCTGATTGAAATCCTACAAAGCTATGCTCTTTCTTTTGGTTCGGAACCTGGTTATCTTGAACCTGGTTATCTTGCTAAGGAAGCGTGAGCGTTTTGCCTTTTGTAGAGTCTTGTAGCAGCAACTGCTTCTGTATAGACAGCAGTGATTCAAGGCTCACAGCATTTAGGAACAAGAATTGTTTATCCATCCATCTGGCAGTGACAGGGAACAGGGTAAAAATCCTACTCTAACATGCATGACTTCACAAGTCCTTTGAACCATATTTATTAGATCCTTTGCATTTTAATATCTAGCTGTGGTAATCTTGTTTTCTAGTCCACTGACACCCCAGATTTGTTGAGAACAATGAATTTGCCTGGAACAGGACATGAAGTGGAAGAAAAGGTAACAAAACTTTTACACTCGGTTTGCACCAAGTTAGTTTCTAATTTTAGTTACTAGAAGCCTGACAGTTTTTGCTTTAATACACATTTCATTGTTCCATGATCATCCAAGATTTCGTGAACGTTGCGCAGTTTGGAGGCTAGTAAATAAGCAATAACTAAGACTGAGAAATCTGTAAGAGTTGATTGCAGGAAACAGCAGAACTCGGTCTCTGCCAGTCTTGCTTTTTTTTGTATTAATCATGGAGTCATAATTTTCATAAGTATTTCTACTACTTTGTTATGCCTACATGTAATTCAGTAAGCATATGCAAAATGTTCCATCAGCTTTTAAGTAATTGGTTCCCTAATTAGCATATGTTTAACCTCAGAAGATTACAGAGCTGTCTTGAAAACAATGTATGTGATTTTCTTTCCTTACCGAAGATGTCTTCTCCCTTCTTTTTTTTTCTGTCTTCTTTTTCCACTTGGATTGTGCCAAATACCAGTCTCAGGATGATAGCTCAGTGACTTACAGGAGAGACTGATTACAGGCTCACTCTTACATGTCTAGACATACAGTGCCACTGTATTTATTCATGAGAGGAGTCTCACTAAATCACTTTGTATTTGCACTTTCTGAATCCAGATATTTGAAGGGCAAGAGAAAAAAGCACCAATCAAAGCCAGTATTGTCTTATTTTATTTTTAGCTGTTCTTTGGTGCTAGCTTGGACTGTGGAGGGAAGGTTTTCCGCAGGCACTGTGCCAGTCTGAGATCCAATACCATAGTCATCTCCCATGCAGACAGCATAGCTCTGTAGCTGTTCTATTATAATGCTTAGATAAGTCAATCTGACTTGCTCTTGCCTAAAGTGTATAATCTAAATCATATAAAGATGTAGATATTGCTTCCACAGTAAGCAAACTTTAAAATGTCCCAGTGTTTGATGTTGCTTAAAACTCTGCCGCTGCCCTTCCCATTCCCAACAACTTCTGAGTGGAGCTAAACTGTGAAAAAACTTCAGTTAGAATGGTCTAAGTAATTTTTAAGTGAAAAGTATAAAAATTTGTAATACTGGAAATAGAAAAATATTACAGCTGTAACTTTCATGTCCAAAGTTCATGATTTGTATAATGGAAAAACAGGGTTTGAAATCTTTTCTGCTAATAACTCCTTTGAATTCAAAACTGCAAAGGCTTTTTGTGTGTGTGTGTGTGTGTGTGTGTGTGTTCTTTCTTTCTCTCTCTCTCTCTCTCTCTAATAACTCCTTTGAATTCAAAACTGCAAAGGCTTTTTTTTTTGTGTGTGTGTGTGTGTTCTTTCTTTCTCTCTTTCTTTCTCTCTTTCTTTCTCTTTCTCTCTCTCTCTCTCTTTTTTTTGAACAAATAGCTTAATAATAGCTTCTTGTGTTTGTGATACAAACAGGTCACTCCAGTCAAATCATCTCGGCCAAAAAGACAATTTTCCTGTTCTGGCACAATTGAAACAATCAATTTGGATGCAGTTCCCCAGGCTGTTGCTCGTCTAGACAACAGTGCAGCTAAACACAAGCTGTCAGTGAAGCCAAAAAAGCAGAGGGTATCAAGAAAGCACAAGAGATTAACAAAGGTATTGAATCACAGGCCAAATAGCGAGAGGAGGGGGATTGCTTTTGAAGCTGGGTACAAAATAATCTTAACTGAGTGCACCAGGAGTAGCTATAGACGGGACTGTCTTAAGATGTGATGAACACCGTTAGAGATAGCTATTGAAAGCTTCTTCGACAAACCTTGTGTCTTCAGGGCAAAACAAAATGCATGCTTCTTTCGTTTTGTCTTGAAATCAAGACCTAAAGATGAAACCCTAGCTGGAGAGAAGATACAAAGAAGTTTTAATATGGCCTGTTGGGACAAATACTACTTACACCTGAGGTACTTCCACTAGGATTTTACATTGGGAGAGCTTTCTGATTCTAGTTTTTCTAGTAAAATATTTAGGTCATAAAGGTCTGAAGGATATCTGCCACTGTTATTGCTGCTCTGGTATAGGCAATCTGACAGTGCAAAATTTGGTTGGGGGAAAAAAAATAGGTTCTCTAAAACTGGCATGGGTTCTGACAGTGATAATATCATTGTCTTATAAGAAAGAATAAGACTGAAGTAACACAGCTCTTGCCACAGCTAGAGTGAACTATCAAATCCTCACTTTGTACTCTTACTGCATGGCTATTTTGTTTTTTATCCTGACATCTTACCAGTGCTTGTAAATGGGACAAGACTATTGAACTACTACAGGGTTCAGGAGAGGCCACTGTCCTTTCTGCTGCACCATTGTACTTGCATTTATCACTCTTGCAATGAAGAAATCAAATTTAAACCTCTTGTTTATACAGAATGTTTAACTGGAGCCAAATGATGGCTCAACAAATGATAGCTAGACAGGGCATTAGCTGAGCTGTTTTCCTCAAGGAAAGTGCTGGGAAGCGCTCTTCAGGTGCAGCTCATCTTCAGACCATGTCGCTACGGAGACAAGGAGTAAGCTGTGAAGAAGATCTGTATTCAGTTTATTGCAGGTATTGCACCCACATGCCAGGTCTGTGGGGCAAGCACAGGGAAGCAGCAGTCAGCAGTTAGTACCTGCCTCAGTACAGTACAGTATTGCTGGGGAGCTCTAGGTTCTCTGTCCATGCATGGTCCCACGGTTCCTGCAGCAGAATTGGAGTCTCAGCACAGCTAGTGGAGGAAGATATCCTGGCTCAGGATTTGTGAAAAGCAACCAAACTGTGTTTCCCTGAGCAGTGTTCTTTCCTGGCTAGCATTGCAGATCCCTTTTCTGCAGGCAACAGCTTCTGTCTCTGCAAGTAACAGCTAGATTTGCCATGAAATAACTGGCAAAACAATGCCCTTAAGCAGGTGCTCATTATTTCAGGCTTAAAGGATGGAGTTCTAAGTAGTGGAACAGGCATATGAAACCTATGCTCTATTCCTTGGACTTCTGTAAATTTGAAATGGCAGGTCTCAATCTGGATTAGCTCATGTACACCAAATGGTGATTCAATATTTAGCATTATACTGTTATCCCTGTTGAGATGTTTTCTTTCTTTTAAAGGCTATCATCCGAATAGATGAGAGGCATGGGATATATGATGGTGTGATCCATAAATTGGGGTGGGTGTGTTGGTGTGTTGGCTCTAGATCTAAATCATTGTTTAAGAATAAAAAGTTGATTTCCATTTGCAACTGATTGTTTGTTCACTGTAAAGAATAACAAGCCAATAGGCAATATTCAGTAACTCCAAACTTGTCTCTCAATTTTAGGGATCACAAAGTTTAACAATAACAGAATTTGAGCCGGAGGACCTAGAAACTCCACTGTATGGAGACAGATACCCAGGTTATAATGGACACATCATAGCAGACAAGCTAATCCAGAACAGAGATGAGCAGAAACAGCTTCAGCTGGCAGAGGAGAAAAGAACTGAAGATCGCTGGGGCATCTTTGAGGCCGAAAGGATAAGGCAGATTGTAGAAATGGAAGAACAAAGAGAAATGGAAGAACAAAGATGCCAAGAACTTGAGCAGATGCAAAAAGAGCAGGAGAGAAGGCGTTGTGAAGAAGAGAGGAGGCAGTATCTCCTTGAAGGAGAGACATCTTTGAAAATAGAAGAGCAAACATGCCATAAAGAGGAGAGAAGACTGCTGGAGGCTGAAAAGAGGCAAGAGCTGGAGAAGCAGAGGCAGGAGTTGGAGGAGCAACAGAGACGAGAGCTGGAGGAGCAGAAGCACCAGGAACGGGAGGAGCGACAGAGACAAGAGCTGCAGGAGCAGAAGCGACAGGAACGGGAGGAGCGACAGAGACGAGAGCTGGAGGAGCAGAAGCTCCAGGAACAGGAGGAGCAACAGAGACGAGAGCTGCAGGAGCAGAAGCTCTGGGAACAGG